GTCTTTGTCTTGAGCCAAGCCCCTCCCGACGTCACCCGACCCAGAGCACCTGGGTCTGCGGGCATCTGCGTCCCGCTCCGCCTCCCGGGCGGCAGGTGTTTCTGAGCCTGGGGCCGGAAGACCCCTGGGTGGAAGCCGGCTGTCTCAGCCACAGAGTCAGAGTCCCCGGGGTGCTGACGGCCTAGGCTGACCCTCCCCTCCTGCTTCTGCTTTTCGATTCATTTCTAATTGCCCCAGAGGAGGTAACCCCAGAGGAGGTAATCGCATTCTCGTTAGTGGCCCCGGGCTCTGCCTGGCTGGGGAGTGGCCTGCCGCCGCCCCAAGCTCCCTGACGGGGCAAGGCTCATGTTCGGCCCCTCCGCTTCCTTGCTTTCCGGCCTTCCGGCCAGTCATGGGGTGCTCTGTGCCTCAGTTTCCCTGTGACAGGAGCCCCCAGCAGGGTCCCAAAGCGGCAGTGAGGATTGAGCGCAAGTGAGATACTAGTCCAGGTCCGGGTTTGGGGAGCGCCCTGTGCTGGCTGCTGTCTCCCCTTCGTGGGTGCGTATTTCCCCGGTGTCGGTGACTGGAGTTGAGGTGCAGTCATCGAAGGCCCGTAATTAATCCCGTCAGAAAGTGCCGACAGCAGTGGTTGCCCCCTGCCCTGTCCCGAGCGTGTGAGCCTCAGGAGCACGCTGACGGGCTGACGGGGTGGAGGACCAGTGTCTCAATCCAGGCTCGGGGTTCAGCCTGCACCCCCGGGAGGCCGAGGGGTCTGTAGGGAGCAGAGGGCTCTGTGGCCTTGCAGGGGGCAACACTGGGCGAGGGGGTGCTCAGCAGAAGCGGCCCCCCGAGGGCTGTGCGCTGGGCTCTGAGGCAGGGGGTGGTCGGGGTTCAGGTCTGCGGGGCAGAAAGAGGGGCCTCGGGAGGGCGCCTGGCTGGGGCTGCGGGGTGCCTGGTGACGGAGGACGTCTCCTGAGGGGCCGCTGTCCCTCGGGAAAACATCATTGGGTCTCTTGGTTCCCCAGCCTCTAGCCCTGCCCCCCTCAGGGACGGCCCTGGGGTCAGGCCCTCAGCCTGGAGGGGACCAGGAGCCAGCCTCCTCTGTCTTCTCTGGCTCCCCAGCTCCTCCTGAGCAGCCTCAGGTACCTTGCACCCTGGGGGCACCTCCAGGCCCTGTCCCCGCAGGTAACCGGCTCCCGCCCCAGGGTCCCCAGGGCCCCAGACTGGCT